AAAAAAAAAAAAAAAAAAAAAGGTAAAAAAATTAGCCGGGCGTGGTGGAGGGCGCCTGTAATCCTAGCTACTTGGGAGGCTGAGGCAGAGAATTGCAGGAGGCGGAGGTTGCAGTGAGCCGAGATCGCACCATTACACTCCAGCCTGGGTGACAGAGCGAGATGCCATCTCAAAAAAAAAAAAAAAGCAAAAAAAAAAAGCTACAATGAATAGTTGAGTTTGCCACTGGAAAGGAAGCATGGAAGTTAAGTCAGACGTATTTGAAGGCTGGGTCATGACTTGTCAGTTACGCAGAGGTGAGCATTTGAGAGGTTTGGAGGACAAGTGGTATGGTCGCCATACTGCATGCTTGACAGACTCCAGGGAGGCCGTGAGACCCCAGAACACAGCGTCCAAGGACGTGCCTGCTCCTTGCACCGCGCTTCCCCCACCCTGCCCAGCTCTGAGGTCCACATTGTGGAGGTGGCGGAGTGGATTGGATGGCAGGGAGTGGGGCTGTCATCGTCAGATGAGCGCTAAGGGGACTCCCACCAGGGTGGGGTTAGTGGCAGGGGCAGGCGAAACAGTTGTGTTTGCAACGTTAGGTGAGATTTGACAGTTGACTGAGGGCGGGAGCAGCATCCCTAACACCAAAAAAGCCAGAGGGAAGTTGTAAGCACAGAGAAAATAGATTTAACGGGATAAAATACAATAGCTGGCATCTTTTGAACACTTCCTACAAGCTAGGCACGGGGCCCATTCACATTCATGCAATCAAAAATTTTTTAAGAAATGGGGTCTTGCTGTGTAGCCCAGACTGGAGTGCAGTGGTGTGATCACAGCGCACTGCAGCCTTCAACTCTTGGCTTCAGGGAGTCCTCCCGCCTCAGCCTCCTGAGGTGTAGCTGGACTACACGTATGTACAGTATACCTGGCTCCCAGAAGTTTTTGTAGAGCCTGAGCATGGTGATACCCCAGTGCTGGGTGTAATCCCGGCACTGTGGGAGGCCGAGGTGGGCAGATCACCTGAGGTCAGGAGTTCAACACTAGCCTGGCCCATATGGTGAAACTACCTTTTCTAAAAAATACAAAAATTAGCCGGGTATGGTGGCACACACCTGTAATCCCAGCTATTCAGGAGGTTGAGGCTTGAGATTTGCTTGAACCTGGGAGGTGGAGGTTACAGTGAGCTGAGATCGCACCACTGCACTCCAGCCTGGGAGACAGAGCAAGACTCTATCTCAAAAAAATAAACTAGTTTCTTGTAGAGACAGGGTTTTGCTCTGTTATCTAGGCTGGAATGCAGTGGTGCAGTCATGGCTCACCGCAGCCTCTACCTCCTGGCCTCAAGCAATCTCCTGTCCTCAGCCTCCCAAAGCACTGGGATCACAGGCGTGCGCTACCACCTGGTTCCTGCAGTTGTTAACTGAGCATCTACTGAGTGCCCTGCATTGCTTTAAGTGCTGGGTATTTGTCAGTGGACAAAACAGATTAAAAAACCACAGCTGTTAGGGAGGGAGCTTACCCTCTGGCAGGGGCAGCAGACACAGCAAGTGCTGAGGAAGAAATGGAGGAGGCAGGGAGTATGGCAGTGAGTGTGGGAGGGGTGACAGTGACCCTCGGGCAGGGACAGCACGGGAGGCTGTGCGCCGGGGAAGAGGGCCAAGGGTGTGAGCTCCAGTTAGAAAGGCAGGGGAGATTCTCCAGGGCCTTCTGGTGCCAGTGACAACTGGGGTTTTCCTGAGATGGGACTGTGAGGAAGAGGGGTCTCAGGCTGGGAAGCGCGGAGGTGGGTCTGGGACGCCATCTGCCCGCAGGGCACCTTCCTAACGGCTGCCCAGGCCAAGGCCGACCCTGCTGGGTTGTGTGGTGTGAGCCATGAGACCGCTGCTGGGTTTGTACCTCGGATGTGGTTGTGACACCCCAGCTTCGCTGGCCCTACCCATGGGGACATGGTGCCCGTGTGCGGGAGCCTGGGCCTCAGCCGGGGCCCCAGGCTTGGGTACTGCCTAGAACCCAGCTCAGTGCTGGTACCCAGCCCTCCCGCAGTCAGCTTGCTGGAGTGGAGCACATGCCCAGTGGGGGCCAGCGCTACACTGGAGGGGGTGGGACTGGCCTTGTCCAACCGCAGAAGTGTCCTTTCCTGGGGCAGGGTGGCATGGGGGAGGGTATCAGGGCCATTGTCTGAGTCTGCTTCGTCCCTGCCACCCCTGCCTGAACATGCAGATTCTGAAAGTCAAGAAGACGTCATCCGGAACATTGCCAGGCAGCTCGCCCAGGTCGGGGACAGCCTGGACCGCAGCATCCCCCCGGGCCTGGTGAACCGCCTGGCCCTGCAGCTCAGGAACGCTGGCCGGTCGGAGGAGGTGAGTGAGGGCCTGAGGACCACGTGGGCAGGCACGTGAGCCCAGCGGCCTGTGCCCCACCTCTCACAGGCAGCCCCCTGTCCCGTGAGGCCACTCAACTCGTGACTGTCAAGTCTGGAACTCTGAAAAGTAACTGGACGCAGGGCATGGTTCATTGCCTTTCAGAAGAATTCAGCTGGTTGACATTGAGCAAACCTGAATGTTAAATTAGAGTAGCGTTTAGGGGTAAAGGCCTTTGAAAGATGAATGAAGCATGTTTGGTTGGCAGAAGTAACAACGCCATCTTCGGTTTTAGGGGTTTAATGGGGCACCAGTGAGAGCCGTAAGCCCTGGCTCTGCTGCCTCCTTATTTGGAACCACACAACTTCCTGAGCTCTGCCATTTGCTTGGCACTGAGGGGGACACAAAGATTGGTCCGGAGCACTGGGTCCCCAAAACATTTAGCGGGAAGGACCACATCCTCCGAACTGCCGAATACGGGCCTGTAGCAGTAGGAGCTGAGAGGACAGAAAGTTCTACCTTTTTGACTCTACCAGCTAAAAACGCAGGCGCCGCACCTCCCAGAAACCCAGTTATGCTTCTGTTCAGCAGGGCCAGCCTGAGGCCTTCCCAGAAGGCTGCCGCCATCCCCATGCTGTCCCCAGCAGCTGCCTAGAACGCAGGAGTGTCTGGCGCCCTCCTGTGTAATTCTGCGTGTGAACCGATGGGCCTGAGGGTCCTTGCCAGCCTCATAGTCTGTGTCCGCTCCCCCATGCCGCCGCCTCCTCCCCTCCATTCAGCTGGGTCTGCACCAATAAGATAGGCCTCAGGTGTCGCAGGTGGTCACTAGCTCTGGACTCGAAGTGCCTTAGGGCCAGGGCCGACCCAGGCTTCTTGAATTCCATCACCGTCTAACAGCGCAGGGGCTCACTGCATATGCATTTGCTCAGTGACGCCCTTGCAGGGAGAGATGGCAGTCTTCCCTTTCCGTTGCCTCAAAACTCAACTGTTTCTCATTCTTTACGCCCAGCAGCCTTGGCTACTTAATAAATACTTCCCTTTGAAGTGCTGCTTCAGACTGGGGACTGTGTTTCCTTTGCGTATTGGTGACCCAGGTTGTGTGTGTCCCCATGCAGGACCGGAGGAGGGACCTGGCCAGTGCCCTGGAGCAGCTGCTGCAGGCCCACCCTATGGACATGGACAAAGAGAAGACCATGCTGGTGCTAGCCCTGCTGCTGGCCAAGGAGGTGGCCAATCACACGCCGTCCTTGCTCCGTGATGTCTTCCGCACAACAGTGAATTTCATTAACCAGAACCTACGTGCCTATGTGAGGAGCTTAGCCAGAAACGTATGTACCCGTGAAGTCAGCCCTTCCCTGCCTGCCACCCATGCCCTTTTCTCTGGATGGTCAAGAAGCCCAGCGGGGCCCCTGCCTCTGATGCTGGCACAAGGGTTACAGGCTTTGCTGCTCAGGTTTGCTTTGGCTGTTAGCAAGAAGGCTGGGTGAAGAAGGTGGTGAGGAGCACCCGGAGTCCTTTTGAGTTTTACCAGCTTGCTGTTGGAGACATGCTCCACTCAGAGGGACGGTAAAGGCTCACACTGCGCTCCTGGTGGAGTCCTCACAGCACAAGCAGGTCATGGAAATAGTGTAATGTGGCCAGGTGCGGCAGCTCGCACCTGTCATCCCAGCACTCTGGGAGGCCAAGGCGGGCAGATCACCTGAGGTCAGGAGTTCCAGACCAGCCTGGCCAGCATGGTGAAATCCTGTCTCCTAAAATACAAAACTTAGCTGGGCATGGTGGTGCATGCCTGTAGTCCCAGCTACAGAGGAGGCTGAGGCAGGAGGATTACCTGAATCCTGGAGGTGGAGGTTGCAGTAGTAGAGGTCGCACCACTGCACTCCAGCCTGGGTAGCAAAGTGAGACTCTAACTCAAAAGCAAAGTGTAATGTGAACCAAAGAGGTTCAAAAAAAAGGGGGGGTGGGAACTGTCTAAATCTTTTCCAGAGCACATCTGTCCCACAACCAGGTATTAGAAGTCACAGTCTAAAGGCCAGGCATGGTGGCTCACACCTGTAGTCCCAGCGATTTGCAAAGCAGAGGCAGCAGGAGTGCTTGAGGCCAGGAGTTTGAGATAAAACTGAGCAACACAGTAAGACCCTGACTCTAAACAACTTTTAAAAATAATTAGCTGGCTGGGTGCAGTGGGTCATGCCTGTAATCACAGCACTTTGGGAGGCCAAGGCGGGTGGATCATGAGGTCAAGAGATGGAGACCATCCTGGCCAACATGGTGAAACCCCATCTCTACTAAAATACAAAAATTAGCTGGGCGTGGTGGCATGTGCCTGTAGTCCCAGCTACTCGGGAGGCTGAGGCAGAATTGCTTGAACCCAGGAGGCGAAGGGTGCAGTGAGCTGAGATCGCACCACTGCACTCCAGCCTGGCAACAGAGCAAGATCCCGTCTCAAAAAAAAATTAGTTTAGGGCCATGCACGGTTGCTCACACCTGTGATCCCAGCACTTCGGTAGACTGAGGCTGGTGGATCATGAGTTCAAGACCAGCCTGGCCAAGACAGTGAAATCCCGTGCCTACTAAAAATACAAAAAAAAATTAGCCAGGCGTGGTGGCAGGTCCCCATAGTCCCAGCTACTCGGGAGGCTGAGGCGGGAGAATTGCTTGAACCCAGGTGGCAGAGGTTGCGGTGAGCTGAGATCATGCCACTGCACTCCAGCCTGGGAGACTCTGTCACAAAAAAAAAAAAAAAAAAAAAATAAGCTGAGCACAGTGGCATGCACCTATAGTCCACGCCATCACGGAGGCTGAAGCAGCTCCTCTAGAGGCTGAGGCAGAAGGTTCTCTTTGCTTGAGCCCAGGAGTTCAAGGCTGTAGTGAGCTATCATTGTGCCACTGCACTCCAGCCTGAACAAAGCAAGACCCTGTCTCTAAAAACGAACAAACGTACAGTGTTCACGATGCTGCCCAAGAAGGGCCAGACAGTCCTTAAAATCTGGTTTCATAGACCCACATGGAAGTGGAGTGTCCTATTTGTAAATTTAAAAATACTAGTGAATGTTTGGGATTTTATGACATCAGAAGCATTAGTTCAAGCTTTGGTTTTTAAGTAAAATAGCATCTAATCTGCTACTGAGAACTCTGAAAAAATCATTCCAGCCGGACATGGTGGCTCATGCCTGTAATCCAAGCACTTTGGAGGCCAAGGCGGGCGGATCACCTGAGGTTGGGAGTTCAAGACCAGCCGGACCAACATGGTGAAACCCCGTCTTAAAAAAATCATTCCTTCTATGCTGTGGTCTTCAGTTACACAGGCATTTTAAAAACAGAATGAATATAAACCCAGCTGAACTGTTAGAAGGAGGTAAGCCCGAGGCGATTCCTGGGCAACTTTTACCAATAACCACGTAAAGGGGGAATGAGTGGGCAGGACGTGTGCAGCAGTCTGTATGGACAGCTTACCAGAGGCTGGCGGCTGAGACAGGATCGTGATTCCTCTGACCCAGCAGGGGCCTTTCCACACCGTCAGTGCCTCGGAGACGCGAACAGCCACCTCCCCGCCTCAACAGCCTGTTTCTGGCAGTTGCCTCCATGTAGCAAGAAGTAGGACAGAAGGACAGGACTTCAGGGCTCTGGAGAATGTGTTTTCATAAATCCCAGCTTTGCTTCAGAGCTCTGGAGCCTGGTTTGTGAATTAGCCTCGCTGATTCTCGCTTTCTCTCCTTTCTTGCTCCAGGAGACGGACTGAATCGACGGTTCCGAAGGCATGACTGGCTGCAGCTCGGTGTGGCTACAGCTGGGTGGCTGCCTCAGTGCAGGTGGGCCCCTGGCCTGTCAGCAGCGTCCCTAGAGAAGACGGGCTGGATGGCGGCTGTGATTTCTCTCTCAAAGACAATGTTCTAAGCTTATAACCCACTTAAAAATATCCACATTAATATACTTGAATGAAAATGTCCATCTGCACGTATCTGAATGGCCTTCATGTCACCACACATGAATCTGCACATTCGTAACTACATATGGTGCCTTTATTTCAACTGTGCAGGTTCCCACTTGAAAAAACAGGTTTCAAGGCAGTAGAAACAAAACACAATTTTTTTTTTTGTAAAAAATATTACCGTTTAATATTAAAGTTCAACCGTAGGGGATGGTCTTACGGCAGGCAATATCCTGTGAGGAAAGTGGAGAAGAAAGGGGCATACCTCTTACAAGTGAAAAATTCCACTCAACACAGGGACTCTTACTACTAAGGAACCAACAGTCTTCCTGTTTAAAAACCAAACGGCACAGAGGTTCTGAACGCAAGTGCTGCACTCAAACAATGGGATAGTGCCCCCCAATACGTAGGTGCTTGATTTTTTTCAACTTGATCTTCTTTTGAGTCAGAAAGAACCACCTGTGGTTCTAAAAGGCATGAAGGTGATATAAGGGCCCATGTCAGCCACTGTTTACAAACTCAGGTAGCTAACTGCACTGCACCCTTTCTCTCTCCATGAAGTCAAGGCTTTGCTAAAGACATTGAGCCAGGGGTGCCAGAAGCTGCTGCAATGCCCTGGGAGCAGCCTGGTCCCAGCTGTAAACTGCCAGTTTCCAGCCACATGCTGGGCTCTCCGTGCCTCCAAAGTGCATCTGGAGAGACCAGGTTCCTAAGCAAAAGATGAAAGAGCAGTTGGACTTTTTAAAGTTCAGCAAAGTGGTTTCCTCTCCTAGGGACGGTCAAAACCAAGTCACTTACGTAGTACCAAAATAAGGAAAAGCTTAGCTTTAGAAACAGTGCAACACTGGTCTGCTGTTCCAATGGTAAGCTGTGTCCCAGGAATCAGTGTAAAAGCACGACAGTGAATGCTAGGTCCGTGTCACACACAGTGCCGTGAACAGGAGAGCTCCTGTGACCACACATGAGGCTGCTGGGGAGGCGTATGAGTAAGGGCCCTGACGGACACATAACTACTTCTTACCAAAGACACTTTTCTGCTCCTTAAGAGTTTAAAATCATCAGAAAAGAAAAACTCTCCATATTGCTCAGCATGGAATACATACCATGTTAGAGCTGGCTCTTGAAGTGAGCAAAAGGTTACAAATACTAAAAAGTGCTGCTATGCAGTGTGAAGGCCACCATTTGGAAATAAATTCTAACAACACTATGACTTTCCATGTTTTGGAGTGGACTTCTTAAACAGCTTTTCCAAGCACAATGGAAACAGGCTGAACCACACTGCACCTATACATCCGTCCACACATCAGCCATCACAATCAGCTTCTCACCAAGGGGAGGCATCTTCTTCCCAAAGGGGCTGTCCACCCATCACCCAGAACTCGTGGAACAGTGCACTAAAGCAGCAAGTGACCCTGGACCATCTCCCACACACTGACTCTTCCACAGCGCCTTCACCTTCTGTTTCCCTTGAATTAATACAGTAGGCCGCCATTTTATTACAGCTTATAACAGGTCTTGGTGTAAATTCTTCCAGACCAAGCCTGAGGTGATACCGTCTTGGCTATAAAGCAAGACCATCACCCCTTCTCCCAAAGCTAACATAAAAAGATTCCACTGTCTCAAACGCAAATGTTCCAGTCTTGAGACCTTCCCAGCCATGACAACTCGGGCACATCCTGGCAGTTGGTGGATTTCACCGTGTAACAATCCTTGTGGATATGACTGAAAGGAGACTTAATTCAGAGAATGTGTCTTCCACTCTGTTTTGAAAACATTTGAATTAAGTGATGGAAACTCCCTGTGAAACATGCAAAGCTTTCTCCTTGAAAAGATGCTTGGTGGACCTGGAAGTCAGGTGGGATGTTTGGTGCATCCACCACAAGGTTCAATCACTCCCGACCTCCCTCTTAGGACCCAGCGTTAACTGCTGAGATGCTCAAGGCTTCCTTAAAGGATCGCAGCAGTAGAGCCTGGTTTTACTGTCCAACAACTTTATTAGTTGTGCTGACTGAGAACTGGCATACAGAGAGTCCTTTGAAAGCTACGATCTTGTTTTCAGAACCTGGAGTCAGTTAAGTACGGACTAACAAACACAACCGATAATGTGAAATATGCTGCCTAAGTCGAGGGCATAAAGTTACCATGTGGATAGAAAGATGAGGCCACTGATCATCTTCAAATCCCGTGTGTTCTCTCTGGCACACTGCTTCTGACAGAAATAACACAAATGTGAAGTGTGTTCCTTTCCCCTAATGAAGAGTAGACTGGCCAAAAGGTCGATGACGGGAGAGAGGAGGAGCCAGAATGACCCACAGGGATGAGCAAGGCAGAGTTGCACACAGAGGGCTCACGGCACTCACACAGAAAAAGGCAACACATGCTGCTTCACTAAAATGCCTGTGTTAATTATCGAAAATTACCACTCAGTTCCGGTATTCTTGAGAGCAATGGTTAACTGACCTTAATTAAAGAAGGAGTTATGTAGGAAGTAGAGGCACTTTTAATCTGAAGGAAGAAATAAAGAAGACTGTAATAGGGAAAACACAGGTCTGGGACCTTTCCTTTGATGCTGGCCAAGGACCCATCTACATGATACAGTTCTCTTGTTGGAAAGCATAGGGAAAACGGAGTTATTCCAAACCCCGCAAAAGAGAAGACTGTACTTTGACCTCCTTTTCCTGGGGGAAAGGCAACAACCAGTAATCTTAAAATGTCAAAACTTTTCTTCTAAATAGTACATTCATTAACCAGTTTCTTCTAGTGGTGCAAACAACACTCGCTACAGTGAGTCATATCACTATAAAATTTCCCCTCGCGAGAGGGGAGAGCAGGGTAGACTCACTTGGATCCAGCTGCTACTTTGTGACTGACGGCAAGGCCTTGCAAATGTCCCTGAGAATAATTCCACTCTGAGCGTGGGGGAGGCAGCCGTCTGGTGCGGGCTCCTGTGGCGTGAACATCGGTATGTGGAAGACCTGGGGGTGGTAACGCGCAGCAATGCCGGCTGAAGTCGAACAGCCTTGCAAAAACAAACGTGTTAATATTTTAGTGGCATGCACTTTACAACTCCCCACGGAGCTCTCTTTATATATGAGGTAACCACAGGGTAGTGACTGAATGTCACCGTTGTGTACCATAGAATTGGTGTTCTCTAGCCCAAGTTATAATTACCTTGATGTGCTGTGGCATGTGGTGGGAAGTCTTTCACTAGGAAGTCCTCCAGGAGCTGATATACTTGTGGCCATACCTGGTCAGCCCTCCTAAGTCCCCAACCTCCTTGAGTGTCCGTCCAGAGGCCAAGCAATGCGTCCAGGTATTCCCCCGCTCCACTCCACAGCCCTACCCTTATGATGGCATATGCAGGGGAGAAAGAGCGAGAAATGCATCACGGTGCCATCTTCACCCGCCTCATTTAGCACTCTGAGAATTCCTGGGACAGACTGCCTAACCTTGTTTACAAGCAAAAATAATCAAGAATGTTAACGGAAGCTCATCGGCAATCACCGAATTCTGTAACCACAAAACATCTCAATTAATGTCCACAGGAAAACAGCCACAGAATTGGAAGCTGAGACCAGTCCTGGACACAACCCTCACTCTTTTTATTCTGTAGTAGAGCATGCTTAATATTTAAGTGAACCTATATAGTGCCTTTGTACAAATGAGGAAAAGACCCCTTCTCCCAGGGCCATGGCGTGGCAAGAGGAGCACAGGCTGCACGCTGGAATCTGTCCCGTCAGCGCTTATGCGGTAAACAACCAGCACAACCATTTGCAGAGAGCCTGCCAATACTGCTTTGCAGGAAATGATAAATTTCCTGCAAAGGAAAATGATAAATCAGATTCAGAAAAATTCCAGTCACTGCCTCGCCTCTCATGCTTGAGGACATGAGGAAAACTAATGAACTCATTCTGTAATATGGGAATAAAAGGAATGCAAACAGCTGTTAGAGCTGTGAAGGTGAAATAAGGTATGTGACAGCACTAGAACCATCTCTGGCATGTTGTAAGTGCTCAACTAATATTTGCTAAAATTATAACTATCGACGTGAATTTTTTTTTAGGAAAAATTATATACCCTAAACTCAAATGAATCTCATAATCAAGAGGTTATCACTAAGGGAAGGTCTTGGTGCACCAAAGAAGAAACGTTATTCTGGCATCGGGTGTCGCTGCGATGTTAAATGACAGGATGCTTCTGCAGGAACTCGGGCAGAAGCTCTAAGTCATGTCTGTTAGCAATCACACAGCCTACAAGGCTGTCTTGAAGGATGTGATCACCACCTCAAATTCTTGGAAAGATAACTTTGTGTGGAAAGATGTAAGAAATTAAGAGAAAGGGGAAAAAAAAAAAACTTCTTAGCTACAAAACCTTTTACTTTTATAAAACATCTCTTAAAATAATTCAGGCCGGGCGCGATGGCTCACGCCTGTAATACCAGCACTTTGGGAGGCCGAGGCGGGTGGATCACAAGGTCAAGAGATCGAGACCATCCTGGTCAACATGGTGAAACCCCGTCTCTACTAAAAATACAAAAAATTAGCTGGGCATGGTGGTGCGTGCCTGTAATTCCAGCTCCTCGGGAGGCTGAGGCAGGAGAATTGCCTGAACCCAGGAGGTGGAGGTTGTGGTGAGCTGAGATCGCGCCATTGCACTCCAGCCTGGGTAACATGAGTGAAACTCCGTCTCAAAAAAAAAAAAACAAAATAAAAAAAAAAAAAAAAAATTCAAACACTGAAATGTCCGCATCCCATACCTTTCAGGAGCAAGGCAAGGAGCAGGCATTACTTTGATATCACTGAGGGAATCAGCGCAAAGCCTGAGGAGATCAACACCGGCTGTGAGAACACCCTGTCTCCAGGTTCACAGCTCACTCGCCCAGGACAAGCCTAGGTTGGCAGTGGCTGCATCTGGTATACCTGGGACAGAAAGGCAGGGAAGAAGGGGTATCAAGGATGCCTCTAGGTGGGAAATGGGCAAACCAGAGGGTCAAGAGTTGCATTTTGTGATTTACAGGGGAGTGATCATGAGAGTCCCTTTAAGGCGCACTGTAGGTACTGAGTGATTTCTGTGGGCCCAGAATTATCACTTCTTAATAAAGAGAGGATAAATTATCATTCTTTGTTTTCCCCAATAAATCATTATCTTCAATAGGGCA